AGAGCCAAATGAACGGGACGATTTATGGCTACAACCAGGACAACGAAAAATTTCCGGAACAGCAGCTCGAATAGTACGGGGAATGGCGTATCATCATATGACGCTACTGATAAATGCTGATCCGACCGTTTTGAAGCGCTCCCTCTCATCACCTTTCAGTGTATGTGCTCTAGAAATGAAATTATACCGAAAAAAAAAATGTTCAAAAGTAAGAAAAGGGCGAAGGGGCCTTTTTTTCTCTTTCCTTGGCTTCTGATCCTCCGGGAAACCCGAATTTGGTCCGAGAATAAAAGTAAATCGTACCCATAGATAGTTCGATTTTTTTAAAAAATGCTAAGACTTGGTTTTTTTTTCAAAAAAAATTTATCATCAATCTCGAATTTCGATGAAAGTTTTGCACATGAAACATGTGTATTCAGAAAAATGAAAATGTATTTTTGAAAAAAAAAACCATGAGAAATGGGCAAATAAGATCGAAAAAAAAATTTATCATTGGTCTTGAATTCTTATGAAATAAAATATTTTAATGTTGAAAAGTAAAAAGAAATAAAATCTTGGATATATTGAAAATTATTTTTAATGGTAAGAAATGTTTCGGTTATGAAAGTTTTGCGCATAAAAGCTAGGAAAATTGAAAATGTATGTTCTTAAAGTAAACCATGAAAAATATGAAAATTAGGCCGAAAAAGGAAAATTTTGGCCATGCAAGCTGAAAAATTTCATTATTTTCGTGTGTTTTGCCCATGCGAATGTCAGTTTTCATTGTTTTACTATTGCAATTTTAGGATAAAATAATTACAAACGCAACACGGAGCGTCCGAGCACCGTCACTGGGTTATTTGGCTCAAGAAGTGCCTGATATTAGCGTGGAAGAAGTGATGGATATTTTGATGAAATCTTTTAAAAAGCAGTACCTGGTAGGCACTATTTTCTTCTCTTTTTTTAGCTCTTCCTGCATAACCGGTTTGCGCAATCGGTTTCAAATTCTGACAAAAACTGCTAAAAAGTTGGTAGAAAAATATTTACGCCAGGAATGAAGCGTCGGCTGTGCCGAAAAATTTTCTAATGAGCTTAGGGATAAAAAAAAATTTGATTAAATAATACCATTGACGTACTAACGAAA